AATCAGAATCCCATAACTTCCTCAAGCATGGCTTTCTCTGCTTATTGCATTCTACAAGGTTTGCTTCAGCTCCTCTAATTATGCGTTTAGGAGGGAATTGATTTGGTTATCTGTTCTTCCCCTTTTCTCATCTTGTCTCCTTAAGAAGCTTCCTTTCAGTTTCTTTGGTAACAACCCATTCAGATTTACCATTTTTTAAAGAATAACCTGAACCAAAATTCCAGATTCTGGTCCTGGACTATCATTTGCTTTGGGCCTGACATTCAAGTCTCTAAGCGTTGCTTTCTTGAGCCCGCATCAGAGTGAAAAACAAAGATGAATCTTGAACCTACTAAGTTTCATAGCCTTGCTCACCTAACCAAGTGGGTTTTGAATGCCAGTTTGAAACATGCTGAAACAAAAGACAGAGCTATATAGCACTTTAAAGACTAATAAGATGGTTTATTAGGTGATGAGCTTTCATGGGCCAGACCCACTTCCTCAGATCAATTTGTGGAAAGAAAATTGGCACAACCATGTATACCAAAGTGATACATTCAAAAAAATGAACACATATGAAATTGACAAATCCAATTTTAGAATAAAGTGCGGGTGAGGGGGGAAGGTTAGTGTCTGTGAGGTAATGACATTAGGGGGTGATAATTGGGGAAGCTGTCTTTGTAATAGGTGAGATAATTATAATCTTTGTTGAGACCCATACATAAAGTGTCAAATTTAAGCATGAATGACAATTCTGAAGCTTCTCTTTGAAGTCTGGAGTTTATGTTGCTGAGAGTGGTTTGTGGTGACATGTTGCACATGAAAGATTTTCTGGACTCAGGGAAACTCGGTCTTTCAACATCCAAATTTACACAACATGTAGCTTTAGAAGCACCTGTAAGGAAGCTGGGAGGAACACAAGCAAACCTGTTGACTTTTCCCTTACAAACACCATGTTATTGGTGTAACTGTCAATACTGAAAGACTTTACCCATGAGATTAAAATAATGCCAAGCCCTAAACATTCAAAGCATTCATAGGGTTCTATGTGGGAATACTATGTGCAATGATTTGAAATTGTAGGGGATTAAAGTCTAGTTTCAACTGAGATGAGGCATAATACACACTTCTGAGAGCTGTGGCTCTGTTTTTACTCAGCTGCCTCTCCCCTCTTATGAAAGTTTAGTGCATGGTGGTTAGAGCAAGGAACTAGACATTCCAGAACTCCTTGGTTCTGTTCCCAGCTCCACTGCTGACTCACTGGCTATGTCTACACTGGCCCCTTCTTTGGAAGGGGCATGTTAATTTTGAACTTGGGAATGGGGAAATCCGCGGGGGATTTAAATATCCCCCGCGGGATTTAAATAAAAATGGCCGCCGCTTTTTTTCCGGCTTGGGGAAAAGCCGGAAAAAAGCGTCTAGACTGGCGCGATCCTCCGGAATAAAGCCCTTTTCCAGAGGATCTCTTATTCCTACTTTGAATAAGAGATCCTCCGGAAAAGGGCTTTATTCTGGAGGATCGCGCCAGTCTAGACGCTTTTTTCCGGCTTTTCCCCAAGCCGGAAAAAAAGCGGCGGCCTATGACTTTAGGTAGGGTAAGTCTCTCTACCTTAAAATTTCCCCATCAGTAAAATGGGGATAATAAAATTACCACAGAGGAATACTATGATGTCTAAATAATTAATATTATAATAATAATACAGTAAGGATGCAACACAGCAAATGTCCCCAAACCTTTGGGTGGAAGGAACATCTGGAGGAGGGAGGTGACCCTTGCGCTGGCTGCTGGCGCCATGCCTGGGTCCCTTGCTTCCAGCTCAGCTTCGCGCCCATGTCCACAGCTTCCAGCCCTGTGCTTGGGGTACCATTCCACGCTGCTGGCCTCACACCCGGAGCTCCTCTCTTGGCCTCACCCACAGCTGTGGCTGTAGCCTTGGTCTCCTTACTCCTGTACACATCCTCTGACCTCAAGCCACATCCCCACTCCCGTCTCTGGCTTGTTGGGGGGGGGGCACAGACAGGGATCAGGGGACAGGACTCTGAAAAGTTTGGGGACCACTGCCATACAGAGTGAGCTGTGTGAATGATGTCCTAGGTGTGACCCTGGATTTTCTAGCTTTTAGCAATTTAGATCATGTATCTCTCTCCTTTATGTTATCTTAACATGGTTATTTATGATTTTTTAATACAATAGGCATTTGATTTTATTTGGATAAGTAGCTGTAATTAAGCTGCTTCTGATTAAGCCAGTCAGATTTCTCAACTGAATTTGACGATTTCATTCTTTCTGTGTCTTCATTATCGGATTAAATCTTGATCAAGGGGAATCATTTCCTGAGGCAGTTTTATAAGAGGCACAAAACAAAGCTCTGTGTACAGTTCTCTGCACTCTACTATGGGAGGCATTGCATATCAGAGTGTGACACTGAAAGGTTTAGTATAGTCATCTGCAAATTTGCTACCAGTGGTCAACAACATGACCATGACTGAAAACTGTTGCCATCAAAATGTATTTTTAGACTTGCATATTGTGAACACTTCACAAACATTCATGAATGTATCCTGGTCGTTCCATAAGAACATAAGGACATAAGAACGGCCGTACTGGGTCAGACCAAAGGTCCATCTAGCCCAGTATCCTGTCTACCGACAGTGGCCAGCACCAGGTGCCCCAGAGAGGATGGACCGAAGACAATGATTCCAGCCTCTGACAAACAGAGGCCAAGGACACCATTTTATCCCCTGGCTAATAGCCTTTTATGGACCTAACCTCCATGAATTTATCCAGCTTCTCTTTAAACTCTATTATAGTCCTAGCCTTCACAGCCTCCTCTGGCAAGGAGTTCCACAGGTTGACTACACGCTGTGTGAAGAAGAACTTTCTTTTATTAGTTTTAAACGTGCTACCCATTAATTTCATTTGGTGTCCTCTAGTTCTTCTATTATGGGAACTAATAAATAACTTTTCTTCATCAGCCCTCTCCACACCACTCATGATTTTATAGACCTCTATCATATCCCCCCTCAGTCTCCTCTTTTCTAAACTGAAAAGTCCCAGTC